GGGCAGGACTGCGGGGGGAAGCTTCCGGGTCGAGCCGTCCCAGGCGGGCTCCGGGCTTTGTCCTGGCTCTCCCCGCCTGCGGTCTGTGTCGCTTGGGGGGGGGTGGGGCAGTTCCGCTGATTGTGGTTCACGGAGGGCAGAGCGGCCAGAGGTTAAACTTCCTCCTTCAGGCTCGTGTGGATGAGAAGCCTGTGGATTTTACGTAAGAAGGTAGCTGAACGGGCTGTCGTTTTGTCCTTAGCTGGAGACGCGGTTGGGCCCCCTTCCTGCCCCAGCAGGCGAGGGACCCCCTTTCTCCTTGCAGGCGTGTCAGCCCCGGGAGTCGCAATTGGTAGCTAAACGGTGGGTGGGGTGCGATTACAGTTTTGATAAAGCAGTGAAAGAAACCCTGGATTGTGCTTCGTGGGAGCTCATCGGAGGACGTTTCCTTGGGTGAGGATGCGCGGTGTACGTGCGGTAATAACGCACTGAGAGATAATAGTGGTTTTTTCTCCTATTTTTTCCTTGCCTCCGGCCACCCTTGTTGAACATCTAGTAGGAGCACAGAAATGAAGGCAGGCTGTCCCATCGTGGAGAAACCAGAAGGAGGCGGAGGTAAGGCAGCTTCCTGGGCAGGTCTGTTTTGGGCTCCGGCTTCTCTGGAGTGTGGGGAAGATGGCGAAGCCTTTGTCTGAGGACCAAGCTGAAGATGGGAGCTTGACTGTTCCCTTCTTGCCTGAGGTGTTCCCGCGGCAGGCCCCTTCGTTCCAGCCTCGGCCTAGGCAGTGAGCAGTGCTCTGGGGCCGGAGGGGTGTGCCCCAGAAAGTGTGACATCTCCACCACTCAGCTCAGCATCAGATTGAGTCTGCGGTTCTGGGCTTTTGGCCATAGATCACTGTTTCGTGGTTGAAGAATAAGGGATCCCAGGGGTGGCTGTTGGAAATAGGCCTTATCAACCACAAATTCTCATGCTTAAATTTCTCTTCTATTGAATGAATTGTTCGGAGCCACTTAGGAGGTAGGGTGGTGGGGAGAGGTACTGGGGGTCTCCAAAGGGTGGTTCAACTGAATGAACGCTAGCCGGGTTGCCAGGCTGAAAGCTGTCTGTTCAAAGGAGGAGGGATTTTTGGCTTCTCTTCTGATCTCTGACTCTGCCTTTCGCTCTTGCAGGCTACCATTTCCCTGACTGGGCGTACAAGACCGAATCCAGCCCGGGCTCCCGCCAGATCCAGCTTTGGCACTTCATCCTGGAGCTGCTGCAGAAGGAGGAGTTCCGGCATGTGATCGCCTGGCAGCAGGGCGAATACGGGGAGTTTGTCATCAAGGACCCGGACGAGGTGGCTCGGCTGTGGGGCCGGAGAAAGTGCAAGCCCCAGATGAACTACGACAAGCTGAGCCGGGCTCTCAGGTGAGGCTGATGTGGGCAGAGAAAGAGGGGCCAGGAGTGTTGACCAGGGACCCTTGAAAGTAACCCAGGGTGAAGCAAATGCCATCAGGTGTAGATGGATCTCGAGATTTTTCCGGTGATTCTTCCCCCTGCCCACCCACGGCCTGGTGAAAGCCAGCTGTCTTACAGTAAACACCCGGGAGAGGTGGTTATGGAACAGGCCTGCCATCCGGTGTCTTGAGCCCTGGGTTCCTTTGTTAAGAAAGTTGCTTGAATTTGTTTGAAAAGTCCATTTGCACTCATCAGACCTTGCATCCTGTCAATCGTGACTCAAGCCCATTTATTCACCCTTCCTGGCATATAATGAGTCTGGCGCCCATACCCCTGGAGGCTCCCCATAGTTTGGAAGGGCTGACCCAGGCAAGGATCCTGCCTGTTGTAAGGTTCTTGGGTTATAGATCCTGGTCCTGGGTAGATTCCCTGGGTGTGTGTGTCTGTGTTGCCAAGGAGCCGCCTGCATGAAAAAATTCCAGCTTCTGGGGTCCTTGCTCAGCTCTGGCAAAGTTGCTGGCGTCCCTGTGGCTGCCTTCTCAGGATCTTCCCTGTGCCCCGCCCTCTGTTGGCAGAGGAGTTGAACCGGCGCCAAGCTGAACGCTGGTGGCCCGGTTGGCACATCCTTGGCTTTTGTTCCCAGGAAGCTGAGGCTTGGCTAAGCACGCTTGACAGCCACCTGCCCTCTGGTCCCTTGTCAGGGAGAGCAAACAAGGAGGTGCAACCTGCATTTGCATAATGGAGCGGAAGCCTCTGCTTTGCAGAGCTCTTCCTTTCTGTGTGTGCGTGTCCTTCCCAGGATTCAGCTCTAAAGCCCCTACTCGCCGAACCAAAGGGCTGCCAGCCTGGGCCTATCCCTATCCCTTCTGCTCTATCTCTCCCCGGGCATCTCCCAAAGCGTGTGACGTCTGGCTTTCCTTGTTTGGCAGGTACTATTATAACAAGCGGATTCTCCACAAGACTAAAGGGAAGAGGTTCACCTACAAGTTCAACTTCAATAAACTCGTGATGCCCAGTTACCCCTTCCTTAACATCCGGCCCACCGGTGAGCAATCAGGGGGTTCTTGCCCTGCTAGATCGAAGCTGGGGGTGGGTGGGAGTGACCAGTTGGTTGGTTAGATATGTATTTATTTATTCAATTTGTATGGCCACCCATCTCCAAAAAGTGACTGTGTATGGCGAATATCCTACCTCCCCTCTCAAATCCTTGTGGAGTAGGTTGGGCTGAGGGACAGTCACTGGCCCAAAGCCACCCAGGGAGCTTCTGCGGCTGAGCAGGACTTGAAACTGGGTCTCTCCGATTGACCCATCAGTTCACCGAGTCCGAAGGCCAGGACACCAGTACGTGCAGACAGTCTTTGGCAGTTGCCGTATTTCAGTTTTTCCTTTAGCATCTGGGGGTGGGAATAGGGTGGAGGTGGTTGGTCTCCGTTCCTCCCTCTGGCTGGGTCTCTGGCGTTGGGGGGCCAGGGATGTGACTTTCCCCCCAATCCAGGAGTGGCTCTTTCGTGCATCTGGTTCTCCCTGCATTGAGTCTGGATATGGCGGACAAGGAATATCCTGGCGGTGGGGATGTGGCTGGCCTCACGTTCTGATTTGTAAAGGGTTATTTCCGGGTGCTGACCGGACCTGCCTGTTCCTGTCATGGGCCCCTCTCCTGCTTCTGAAGCACCTCTTCAGAAATCAATTCCACAGCAGGCCCTTTTTCCTCGCAGTTGTAGTAACGCATTCAGCGCTTGGCCGCTGGCGGAGCAAGGGTTGAGCTGAGCAGCTGCGAACCCTAGATCATCTGCTTTTGCTGGGCTTGGAAAAAGCAGTCGAGAGAGACGCCTTGTCCTGGTGTGGGAACCGGTAGCCGCCCCAGGCCTGGAAGTGGGGCAGAGGAGCCTCTGTCTCCCTGAAGGACGCTTCGGGCTGTGGAGGGTGTGGTTGGGAAGAGGGAGGGCCCAGCAGGTTTCCAGGATTATGCTCCAAGTGGACTTTCGGAGCTGTGGGTTTCCTGAAGGGAGGAGGCCCTGAGCTCTCTTCCACAGCTTCTCACAGCAATCATGCCTTTTCTCTCCGCCAGTGTGACAGCGCACGGCTGAGACCTTGTGCCAGGATGGCCCAGAGCATGCAGGGATTGGCTCTGGCCAAAATCCATCCCCCGGCCCTTGGAGGGCTCTTTGCCCCAGGATCAGGCGGCCTAGGCCAAGGCCATGTCATCCGTGGCTCCGGCCTGTGCGGCTTGCTCGCTTGTTCTCTCCTCGCCATGGGGAGGAAGCACCTCTCTTCCCGTGACCATCTTCTCCCCCTTGTTTCGAAGGCATTTGTGTCTTTGCTGTGTTCCACCTAGGGCACGGTGGCTGGCTTGTTCTTCTGATTAAGAGCTCTCGGTTTTACGGCAGGGTAGAGGTTACCCCACAGCGTGAACTGCTGCTTACGCAGCGGGTCCGGCTGCCCGATCTAGCAGCCCTCAGCTAAAAGCCGGGCACTGAGCGCAAAGCTGCACTCCCGTGGTGCGGACATCTGCAGGAACAAGTCCGGGCAGTTGCTCACCCTGATTCCTCTCGAACACACCCTGCGCTCCCTGAGGCTGGCAGTAAGCAGAAGAGGCTGCTGGAGCCCTGGAAGCTGCCCTGTGATTATAGCTTGTTTTCTTTCCTCTTGCCTGGGGAGGTTGACGCCCCAACCTGCTCAGGAGGGAGAGGGCCAGGGCTGCATCTCCTCGGGTGGCTCTCCTGCCAGGTGGGAGAAAGCTGCAAGGGAGGAAGATCAGATGCAGGCGTCGGAGTCGGAGTCGGATGTGAGGGCCCAGGAACGTGTTTCCTGGATCCTGGATGTGGAAAGTCGCCTCCTCTGCCCCCTCGCTTGGCTGCCCAGCTCTGGGTGCACTCTCTTCTGCTCGGGTGAACTTAGCGTTGCGTCCTTGCTGAAGACGGGCCTGGGTCTACCAAGAGGGCAGGGGGCTGCATCGAGGAGCCCCCTCCTGAACTTGTCACCAGGCCTGGATCTTAATGGAGGCATTCAGCAGCCGTGGAGGGAGCTTCCCAACTTCCGGAACCTGCTTCCTGGGGAGCCCCAAATAAAGAGGGCCCAGTTCCACTTCTTTGGCGACCCCGCCCCCCAGCAGTTCGGAGGCTTGTGGCTTGTGTCCTGGAGGGGGGACCCTCCTGCTGACCCCTCCTCTCCTCTTCCTCCCCAGGCGTTGTGCCACAGAGCGCTCCTCCCGTCCCGACGGCTTCCTCCCGGTTCCACTTTCCCCCTCTGGAGGGCCAGTCGCCCACCGAAGACTCCCAGCCGAGCCGCTTCTCCGGCAGACCCCTGGGGCCGCCGGGCCAGGAGACCCTCAGCAATGGCAGCGTGGACGAGAAGTCATCTCCGGCGCTGGAGCTGGATGGAAGCTCTCCGGATTGGCACCGCGGGGTTGATCTCCTGGCCTCCCGCAACACGGCGGCCGCCTCTGGCGCGGTCGGGCACCCGAAACGCAAGTCGGACCTGGTGCTTCCACTCTTCGGCCGGGCTGGGCTCTATCCAGACGCGCACAGCCCCTTCGCCGGGTCCCCTCTCCCTCCCCGTGGGGGGGTCCTCAACGTGCCCCTCTCTCCCGCCTTGTCGCTGACGCCCACCCTCTTCTCCTACAGCCCCTCCTCGGGCGTGAGCCCCTTTGCGGCCAGCAGCAGCTGCTTCTCCTTCAACCCGGAGGAGATGAAGCATTACTTGCACTCTCAGGCCTGCTCCGTCTTCAACTACCACCTCAGCCCGAGGACCTTCCCTCGCTATCCGGGCCTGATCGTGCCCCCTCTGCCGTGCCAGCTACCCACTGAGGATCAGCCTCAGTTCCCCATTAAGCTGCAGCCCCCGCCTGCCGGGCGCAAAAACCGGGAGCGACACGAGAGTGGTGGGGGCTCCGGGCCTCAGCCCCTCGCGTCACCCCCCCGGGTTAAGCTGGAGCGGGCTTTGGATCAGGAGCCAAGCGGCGTCGATTCCCCGGAGAGGGTCCCGGCGGGGTGGGAGGAAGAAGTGGGCACAGCCCCTCTGCCCCGGCGTCCGGAGCCGCGAGAGAAGACTCTCTTCCTGCACCCGGCTGCCCCCGCTTGGCCCGGGGCCTCTCTCGTGCCCGGCCCGGTCAGGAAGCTCAAGCAAGAGGAAGGCGCTGCTGAGAAGCTGCCTGCCCAAGAACCCGGGGGGGAGCCCGGAGCCCCCGAGAGGAGGGAGGACGCCGTCATGCCCCCCAAGCTGCGCCTGAAGCGTCGCTGGAACGGAGACCGGCTGGCCGAAGCCGCCGAAGAGGCCCAGAGCAGGAAGCCCTCGTGGGCCAGCAGCCTGGACACGCCGCACATCCTCCTGGCCCCCAAGGCCGCAGTGGATACTTAGAATGAGGGGCCGGCGCTCGCCCGGCGGGGCTTGGTTGGGGTGT